AGCGCGATCTCCCGCTCGAGGGCGGCCGCCGAAGGGAAGCTCTTGCCACCCTTGCCGCCCTTGTCTCCCTGACCTCCAGGGCCACGCTTGCCATAGCCGCCCTTCCCCATGGCGGCGAAATGATTATGAACGTGTGAGGGAACGGCCCTCTCCGAAGCTGAATGACTCGCAGGCACGAAGTGCCGTTTTGAATCCTGCACCTGCAACGCTCAATGGCTTGAGCGCAAAACGGCTTGCGGCCGCCACGAGGTAGGGAACGGCAAGAAGGAGGGCGACGACTGGTGGCTGGAGCTCTACGTGCTGCTCTCGCGCGCCACGCGCCACGAGGACCTCCTGCTCATGCGGGCGCCGCGCATCGAGTTCTTCCTGGCAGGGCCGCCGCAGGGCTTGCGAAAGCAGCTGGAGCAGTTTACGGCGCGCACGAAGCGGTGCAGGAGGGAAGCGACGGCCCTCGCCAGGGAGCTCGGCTTCACCGAGTTCATCCGCGAGGCCTGACCTGAGGAGCGTCTCCCCCGAGCCGCGCCTTCTCTCGACTGCCCGACTAATTGTTTGGCCTCGCGCCGCGGACGACCCGCGCGCGTCGCTGGGACCCTCTCGGGGCGACCAGCGCGCGTCGCGGGAACTCCGTGCTGCGGGGGGCCCGGCGCCTCGTTCGCCCGTCGTCGCTCTGCCCAGCGGTCAGAGACTTGCCCGCTATCAGCCAGCCAGTTAGCTAGTCAGCTCTCTCTGCTTCGCGCAGCGGACGACCCGCGCGCGTCGCTGGGACCCCGCCCGGGGCGACCAGCGCGCGTCGCGGGGACTCCGCGCTGCGCTGCGCCCGCAGCCTTGGATTTTGGAGTGCGCGGGCAAAGAGGAAGGAAAAGAAGAGCCGAAAGCGGGCGCGATCCTCGCAAGAGGCGTGCCGACATGGGCGTCGCGACGTGCGGACGCTGCCGTCGGGGTTCCCGCGGAAGCTGCCTGCGGCGGCCACGCCCAGTGTCACGTGTGTTCGGACAGGCATGCTCGAACCATTCACATTCATATACACTTACACTAGGCGTTTCCATGATCGCATTCATGCAAATATATTCACTCGCGCGCAGACCCATTCATACTCAGATTCCCTCGCGCTCTGACTCACCCGCGTTCTTTCTCTCGTAATCAGATCTATCGTATTCCTTTGCGTTGTGTACCCCGCCACATTTCGGCACACCCCTCATGCGGTTCGTGGCCCCATGGGGAGCGCCACCGAAGAAGATATTCACAATTGCGATACTCACAACTGCATATGGTTGGGTCCTTCGCCAGGATAATTCGATGTTCCCGGACCCCCCCCCACTGGAAATGGAGGGCAAAATGAGGCCTTCGGGTTGGGTTGGGGTGGTTTGGTGGGTGGTGATGAGTGTCGCTCCTCGCCCTCCCGGCCTCTCCGGCCACCTCGGCGCGCCTCGGCGCCGCGCTCTCTCTCTCCTCCTACCTCGCCCTGCCTCGGCGCGCGCCCCGCCGCTGCCCGAGCGCAGTCAGTCCGGCCCTTCTCTGCGGCCGCGGGCCAGCCACACGCTGCAGCATCGGTGACCGTTCGGCGGCGCGCTCCTGTGAGCTTCCTCCTGTCTCTCCCCTGCGGCTATGTCTCCCCCCAGTTCCGTCTGCCCCCCCCGCGGCTCCCCCACGGCACATCCACCTCCTGCCCTCCCCCCCCCCTCGTCCATCCTCTGCACCTGCACAATATGAGGACTACGTCCTCTCCTCCCTCCCCCCGAAGAGGCTGGTGAGGTGTCCTGGCTTCCTCCGCGTAGTGTCTTTTCTAAAAGAGATTCCGCCGAAGTGAGAATTAAGACGTGTGCTTTCCAATCCGAACGCTGTCGGCCCTTTCAGCATGGCGTTCACGCTACAGCGTTGGATCCATTGTACTGTTGTCAGTCCTTCCAGATCAGGTGCCCCCTGCAGCGCTGAACTCGTTTCATTGCTTCGGTTCCTCCAAATCGTGATCTGCTGCAGCGTTGGCTTCCGCTCCGCGCTTCCAGTCCTTGCAAATCGTGCTCACACTGCAACGCTTGTCTCATTTCCGCGGTTTCGGTCCTTCGAAATCGTGCTCCTGCTGCAACGCTGATATCATTTCGCTCTTCCCGCTTTCCAACCGTCCAATTGCATATCCCGTCCTGTGTCATTTCTGGTTTCCCTCCGGCCTCGTTGTCGACATGAACCGCTTGCTCATCGCGACGGCGTCGGCTGTGGCCGTGCTCTTCTATGCTATGCTATGCCGTGCTCTTCTATGCGATGCTAGGACGTCAGAGATGACGCTTGCGCACCTAGCTTGCCTCCCCCCTCTCGCCTCCCACTCACCTCTCGCCGTCTCCTTGATGTGCTTTGGGCTCAGGTAAGGAGCGCGCCACGACTCCAAGCGGCGGGTTGACCCAGAACGCATTCAGCGGAGAGCAGAGGCCAGAACAGCAAACACGGCCAGCCAGGCAACATATGCCGCGGTAGGTAGTTGCTGACTGCCCAACACAACTCTGGAATCCTATTACACCAGATCCAAGCCGCCAATACTCATCTTAACACCAGCTCGGCATCCTCATGCACGTGCGCATACACGCGCGCACTCCAAGTCTCATTCTCCCTGGGAGATGGAGGCAGGGAGGGAGATGGAGGACGGACGAACCAAAGGATGGAGAGAGGAAGAGGAGGGAGAACGCAAGAGGGATGAACAAGCATGCGGGGGTGGGGGTACGGGGACGGACGTGCCGTAAATCCGAGGCCACCGAAATCGAGAAGCCAGGACGCACGAGCCCGGGTCAGCCCAGACCCGGACTGGCCAGGACCATGTCGCGATGCCTGGCGGGCTGCTTGATGGCTCCCAAGCCCGGGTGAGCGGAGGACGGAAAGGTGTTCCCACGTGGTTCCCACGTGGGAATCCCGCTCGAGTTTATGGAAGCCTATCCTAGTCAATACGTTGGCGGGCTAGCGATACATAGCGGCAAACAACGGCAACCGACTAACGGCAAAGAGCCGCAACCGACTAGCGGCACGCCCTGCGCCAATCGTCTTCCAATCAGCCCTTATCCGCCGCTAGTGACCGCTGAGCGCCAACAAATACAGCATCTAGTGAAATTCAGCGCTTCTATAAAAAAACGGAAACCCCTTTCCGTCCCACGTGGTTCCCAAACGTACCAGCCTGGAACCTATCCCTACCCCTATGTTGGGCATCGCCTCATCACGATGGCGATCTCAGGGATTCCCTCAGTTTTTGAGGGTGCATCCCCAGGATTGTCATCGCCTCTGGGCGTGCCAATCTTAGGGACAGGGATACGTTCGAGGCTGGTTACAGACGCGGGTCGGCCAGAGGGGCTCGGCTGACCCCCAGGGAGCGAGCACCGACGGAGAGCGAGAGGCACGCAAAAACCGGCCTCGGGAGGGACGGGGGAGGGGGGGCGCGGAGCCGGGGGGCGGCGGGGGAGAGGCGTGGCGCAGGCAGGAGCTGAGGAGGGATAGGGGGGGAGAGGGGAGGGCGAGGCATGCTCGCTCTTGCCGTCCTCTTCCCCGGCGCAGCGGAAGGCAGCGCAGGGAGAACGGGTCGGCGAACCCGCGGAGACGGCACTCCAGACCCACGTTCTGAAAGCAAGAAGCAGGCGCGGATGCGCGCATGCAACGATATAAAACACCTAGAACGATTAGAGGATCGATGTGTATATATATACATACATATATAAATATACATATATATACATATGTGTATATATATATGTATACATATGCATATATATACACATACATACACATAGATACGTAGATGCACAGGGAGAGTGAGAGAAAGAACAAGAGAGAGAGAGAGATCGACAGAGAGAAAGAGACAGAGAGCGGGGCGGGAAGCTTGGGGGAAAGGGGGAAGCAGCGGAGCCGTATTGCGACTTTGCGACTGCTGGATGGGCTCAAAAAGGAGGAAAGGGTGCAAGCAACAGTAAAGCCAGCAGCCGTCCTGCTGTGCAGCGTTGCCGATGCCCTGCCAAAGCTAACACAAGCCTGAAAAAACTGGCCCGAGCAAACTTGGATGGAAGCCTTATTGCTTATTGCTGGTACACTGCCTGGACGTAATTCAATGTTGGGAGGCCTGGGCTCCGCCTGGGGTCCTGGGAGACGGCGGAGAGGGGCGAGGTCAGGGGGGAAGCGCGGAGAGGGGCAAGGAGAAGGGAGGGCCAGGGGAGTCAAAGCTCTGCCGTCAAGACCCCTGGACGGGGAACGAAACCCCTCTTGGGGGCCTCGGATGCGCCACAATGCGCGAGGAACGCCAGTTGGAAGACCCACGGAGGGACCCAAGGCTTGTCGAGCCCCCTCCGGAACCTGAGTGGGCCGGATCCCCAGAGTCTTGACTGCAAGCGTACAGTCGGGCATGATTGGAGAGGACACGCGAGGGGACACAAGACCCTTCCGATGGCCACAGTGCCATAGGAATGTAACAGGCACGGGTCTCTCAAGACCGGACACGAGAGTACCTTTGACTTGGCCGGGTCGGCCTACTAAGGATCGGGAGCGGCCAAGAGGGCGGTGTCCAAGAGGGAGGGGGTGCAAATCATGACCGGCGGCACGTGCGCGGCCCAACGGGCCAACGGGGTGGCCAGGGACGTAATGAGATAAGAAGGGGCGCCATGAAGTCTGGGGAGATAACATGGCCCCCGCCATGATATCCCCCCCCCTATAGTTTGGGCGCCCGAATTATCCGGGGTAACTCGGGCCCGGGGTAACTCGGGTTCGGATTCCAGAAAAACGAACCAGAGTTAGCCCTGACCCGAGTTACCCCTGATGATTCGGGGCTCTGGACGCCCGAATTATCCGGGGTAACTCGGGCCCGGGGCAACTCGGGTTCGGATTCCCGAAAAACGAACCCGAGCTAGCCCTGACCCGAGTTATCTCTGATGATTCGGGGCTCTGACTAGTCATCACCCCCCTCGTTTCCGCCCCCGAAAGGAAGGCCGACTGTACATGCAGACCGGTGGCCGAAGCCCGGGCCCCGGCACGTCCGCGTCCTCCGGTCGTGCGCCCAGCGCACCGCCAGCGCTGGGCCGCCGGGCGCCAGCGGCGGCCCCGGGCTGAGAGCCGCTTTGCAGCTTGGCCTCCTCCTCCTCCTCTTTTCGGGGGGAGGGAGCTGAAGAGATCCGCCGCGCTCCTCCTGAGGAGGAGGAGGAGGAGGAGGAGGAGGAGGAGGAGGAGGAGGAGGAGGAAGAGGAGGAGGGAGGAGGAGGAGGAGGAGGAGGAGGAGGGAGGAGGAGGAGAGGAGAAGGAGGAGGACGGAGGAGGAGGAGGAGGAGGAGGACGGAGGAGGAGGAGGACGGAGGAGGAGGAGGAGGAGGAGGAGGAGGAGGAGGGAGGAGGGAGGAGGAGGAGGGAGGAGGACGAGAAGAAGGAGGAGGAGGACAGGAGGGGCAGGAGAGAGGAAGGAGGTGGGCTTGTATGGCCGCTCGCCTCGGACTCCTCATCCTGTTCCTTTTTCCCATCCTAATCGCGGTTATTCTCCTCCGTGTCGTCCTTCTTGCCCGCTTCTCTTCCTTCTGCTTCTCCTCCTCTCTCTGCCTCTTTTCCGTCTGCTCCCCCAGGGCCGCTTTTACTCTTCCTTCTCTTCCTTTTGACTCTGGGAAGCAAGAAATGTGAAGCTGGCCTTCGTCTTATATGCACTACAATCGTCGGGGTGCTGTCATACGACAATACGAGTGGCAACGTCGAAGTCAACAAACAAAATGACCATGTGGTGACTATCGTGTCGGCTGTGATGCTGCAAACGCCTAGGATGGTGCACGCGAGTAACACTGCTGGCTAAAACATACCGTGTTGCTGCGGATGATTACGGCGAACGTAGTGGCATGGCACAACAGTGGCCAACAACGATGACCGCACCATAATGGCAATGATGGCGTGGTGTACGCCCTTCCCACTCCATCTCCAGCCTATCAACATCATGCGACTAGATCTTCGAAGAGAACAACCTGGCCACCATCAAGAACTGCCGTGCATATGCTGCACGTTTTCAATCCTCTTCTCGGCGATGGCAGCAGCGACGATGGGCCTAGAAATGCCCCTCTGGAAAGACGGAGGACATGCCAACAGGACCACACGCAGTAACACATGTTTGGGATGGTGCGCCGATGGCACGATGTGGAGAAGTTGCACTGGTCATGGGATGAAACCGAGTAGGTCGGTCGCTGCCCACCCACCACGGACTGCCGTAGGATTCGACCAGCAAAGAAATATAGTGGGCAACGACATCGTTCATGTTGGCGCTACTGGGTGGGTTTGGTATTAGACATGCTCGGCGCAGTAGAAGGTGGGATGTTGACCTGGTGAACTTTGCAAGGAGGAGCGATCGAAGGAACCGTGATCATACTTCCTTAATGAATATCCAACCAGCTGCTTTGTACTGCAGCTGCAATGTTTCCGAACAAATCTATGGCCAGCTCAAAACAATTGTAAGTCATCCACCACCGTGCCTTCGACGCGTAGTAGAGTGCCCCAGGGCTCGTGCAGTTCTGAGAGCTCGACAAAAGCTTGACATTTCTTCAAGGCCAGGTCCACAAGCTTCCCGGCATTGCCAGGCCCTCACGGGGTTTGTTGAGTGGGCGCCCAGGGCGGCGGCGCCGCCCACAACGACCCGAGCCAACGCCGATCTGTCTTGAAAAATACACCAGGAGGCCCCAGGAGTGCCCCAACAGGTCCCCTTACTTACTTAACCTCCCACTCGCGCCTCATGAATCCGATGATCAACACGCGCCTGGCGGCGCTGGGCAAATTTACCGTCTTAGAGCTAGTGCTTCCACCTCGAGCCCAGCCCTGCTGTCGGAGTTCCGAACGCACAAAGGCGGAACGCCACCAGAGGGCGAGCTGCGGAAGGGAGGAACCCACAGGGTCGGCCCCCGTTCAACCGCTGGGACCAAGGGTTTAAGCAGCCACGGAAGAACCACTCACCCCTCGCCCCCGCCCGCTGGCAGCCCGCGCGGGCCGCGGCGCCTCCACCCGAGGCCGCTGCCCCACTACCTCTTGCTGCTTCGCCATCTTCCCTCGCGGCGCGCGGCCTGGCTTGCGGCCGCCTCCCCGCCCCCTCAGAATGTGGCTGAACACGGCAATCGTTGTCATCGTCTTCTGGCCTGCCACTATGGGCATCGATTCCAATGGGCTCATCTGCAATTTGGCGGCATACATCGGGTCGGCAGCCGCTCCCCCACACGCTTCTGCCTGCTCCTTGCTCAGCAGCTCTGCCGCTTCTGGAGCGACCCCGACCGCGAGCGAACCGAGCAGCGCCGTCGCGAGCCTGCGCTTCTCGGCGTCGCACGCGGGCGAGAAGCCGTGCTCCCTGACCAATTCGATAGCCCCCGCGCTGTCTGAGTGGGCCATCAGCGCCCTCTCCGGCACGCCCTTGAACCGCATCGGCGCCTGCGAGCGCGACCCCCCGTTCAAGCTGCCGGCGATGGCGGGGAGATCCGAGGCGCACGTGGTCATCGGGTGGTCCGCGCTGGCGCTGCGGCCCTTCTTCTTTCACCTTGGCCAAATGCATGCGGCGCGTGCCCCCCCCGTCCTCGACTATCCGGCGGTGCTATCCGGCGATCGCGCAGCGCGTGAAGTCGGACGGCCCGGGCGTGCTCGAGCGTTCGCAGTCTGGCTTCTGGCTGCGCCGCCAACCTTCTCGTTGGCGCCTCGCCGGACTCCTCCGCTATGCCTTCTTCTGTTTGGCGGCTGCGTCTTCTCGCCTGGCTCGTCGGGGAACTTCTGCCATCGAGCTCGAGTTGGCAATCCGAAAGATGCTGGCCCAAATGGCCGCGCAGTATACGCTGACACAACTCCTGGCCCTCATCCGCTATAAGTTCATAAATCGCAGCGCGCGCTAGGCACGCGAGTCTCGTTTCCCGACCAAGCGTTAGCAGCGCGAATTCCCATCTCGAGCGCCCGTTGCGCGCGCTTCTGGGCCCGCGCGTAGCTAGAGAATACCGCGGCACATATCGCACGCGTTGCTGAAGCAGGCCGCGCGGAACATTGCCATCTTGCCGCGCGCGCCACCCCGCGCGCGGGCGCAGCGTGACGCAAGCCCCGTTCTGTCTGGGGAACGCGCTTCGCATGGCATGCCATTCTCATCGTGCGCTTAACGCTGAAGCTCACCGCCTGCCGGCGGCTCAGCTCGCTCGGGCTCGCGCTCAGCTCTGCGACGCGCGACGCGCGCGCGCCCTCCAAGTCGAGCTCGATGCACTCCTCTCTCCCCGTCCAAGAGCGCCCTGCCTGGATCCTGATCGTAATGCGACAGAAGACGTCATCGCGAATCGACAGCCCCTGCGCGCTCTGCAGCCGCTGCTCGGCCCATGGGTCCAATACCTGGTCCGTTTCCTCAAAAACCTCGCCCACCTTGCCCCCGCTCCGAAGCTCCCCGGATACAACGTCTAGGAGCTGATCGGCCCAGACCATATCCGACAACGAACTCTGGGGCCATTTTAACAACCGAATGCGCGCTTCCGCGAAAAGACTGGCACGACCGATTCTTGCAAGTAGTTCTAGGTTACTGGGGGCTCTCCGGGGGCGATTTTGGCGGTGAACAGCCGCGCCCCCTACCTCTTCGAGCAGGGCATCCTTCGGGCCGTGCAAAATCCTGCGCCTTCATTGGGCCCCGGAGTTTTACGAAAGTCTCGGTGCCCGACAACGCCGCATTGAAACATATCCTTAAATATAGCTATCTTCAATTTCTGCGATGCGCCAGAGGCCAGGGCAATTCCCATCGCCGCCCGCGCCGTTTTCCTGCGCGAATGCAATGCCACACGCCTCGACTCGGATAGAAAAACGCTCCGTCATCCTCACTCCTAGGTAGCGTACTGCTGCTGCGGCTGCGTGCCCCTCATAAACCACGTCGCATCGGATCGTCTTCTCAAGCTGCTATGCGCCTCTCCCATAAGCGCGTGGGGTCGCCTCCTGTTTGCTGATGTTCTGGGCCAGCCTCGCTACGCCAAGCGATCCCGTGATCTCGCGGTTCTGCATCTCGCCCTCCACATGTGCCCCCCCGCGCACACACGCACACACACACACACGCACACCTTCGTTCTATTCAACCTGAACGCGTCAGAGACATCATCCGGGACTAAACTCGTAGCTGCCTGCTCCTCCTTCCCTGTCCTGGGCGACGTTGCATCGAGAACGTCCCTCGCCTTCAGCGCGTTTTCTTCGAGCCCTCGAACGTGCGCCATGCCACAGCGAAGTGCCATTGCTGGTTCTCCTGGCATGCAGCTCCCCCACCAGCGACATGAGATCGGTGGCCTCAGCAAGCGCGAAGTGAGCGAAACGAGCCCGACCTAACATCAACGTGACATGCTCCTACTTGATGCGTGCACAGGCGATCTCGAGCAAATTGCCAGTCTTTATGGGAAAGAACGAGTTCGCAGCGTCGTGAATCTCTTAGCGCGTTGCATCCCCATCGACTTCATCCTCCAAGGCCCACGCAACTGCACGACGATCGCTCCCTCCCGCCGCCGATGCTTTAATGCACCACGGTTCCATGGCGGCGCGCACCTAGTCTCTGCATTAATCAGAATGTGTCGGTAATTACCCTTTGCTATACGACAGGCAATCCTCACCATCTTTTCGCCGCCCGCTCCCTCCTTCTCGATTCCCTTGCTGATCTGCGCGGCCCTCGCTGTCAACCAATCCACTGGGCACCTATGTAATCATGGTCGCCTCCTGCAAGACCGTCTTTCATGCAGCCACTGGGGGAAGAAAACGCATCGCGCGAACCCCAAACTCGACCTCCATGCCGGGTGCGCTCTCCGCAGCCGGGCCTTCCCCATGGCCCTTTTGATCCCCTTCATTTCCTCCTCGGCCTTCTCGCCCGTCAAAATATGTCGTACCACTCGCCCTCGTCGCTCACGTACCTAATCAAGTGTCACGTCCTCAGCTCTGCATCCTCCTTCGGGTCCTGGCTTCCTCATCTTCTGAGTCCAGTCCTCATGGGTGCCTGGTGCACTATGTCGGCCGAATGCCCGCTTGCGTCCTCCTCTTCGCCTCTGTGCCAACATCCTCGCCATCTTGTGCACCGTGTAGAAGTCATGCTCCTCCGACGCCCGCATGAACTCCTCACATCGCACTGCTTCTACCCACCTCCAGTACTGCTGCCGTTGCTGCCTCAGCCACTTGCTGACACGACGTAGTCGAAGCAACAAATTGTTCATCCAGTTCTGTGTCGTACTCGTTCTGATTTGTATTTCCCGTGGCGGCGCCGAACATGGGCTCCAGCTCGGGCTTGGAGGACATATGCGTGCCATTCTGCGATGTTGTCGTCTACACCAGAGATGTTCTCGTTCACCGTCGTTGGCGTTCTGACGTGTATTTCGCGTGGGGACGTCGAACCTGGGCGCCAGCCAGGATGGAGAAACTATCAGGGTGGCTCTCTGCGAAGCTGCCGAAGTATCCGCATCAGACACCATCACATGTGAATGCTGTGCGTTCTTACGGATTTTCACGTGGCGACGTCGAACCTGTGCTCCAGCCAGGACTTGGAACACATCTGGGTGCAACTCTGTGATGTTTTCGGCACATCCTCACCAGTGCAATTATGAGGCTGTTCCTGTTCACCGCCGCTTGCGTTCTGATTTGTATTTCGCGTAGCGACGTCGGAACCTGGGCCCCAGCCAAGATTTAAGAACTATGTGGGCTGCTCTCTGCGATCGTGATATGGAACTAGAATGAGATGCCGTTGCTATCGTCGCTCTCGATACCCAATGATCCTGTCCTGCCAACCACTGGAATAATCGCCGCCGCGACTCTTCCTCATTCCATCATCTTGTGGCCTGCCGCCATCAACTTCCGATGGACTCATCTGCACATGTTGAAACTCTGATCGTATGTGCCTCCTCTGCCAAAGAAGCCTCCTCACCTCTCTTGCTTGCGCCTTGTGGTTATCCGTGTAGCCGCACGGTGTCCAGTTGCCTCCTCCTCGTCCAGTTGCTTGGCCAAGCTTTCGCCAAACGTTTGGCCACAGAGGCACTTCCCGAAAGGGCAGCGGGTGGCGGTGATTCGCCGTAGGCGTCTTCGGCACCAGCGCTGTGCATGTCGAAGCCGGCGCCAAGGGACGGTGCCATCCGCGAGGCCAGGAAAGCAAAGTGTCAAGTCCGATCCCCCCCCGCCTGCACCAGAGACGAGAAGAGCCCGATCGACGGCCTACTTAGCTACAGCAGGCACATACGAGAAGAAACATTGCTGCAAGGGGTACAGTCATCGGCCTGACCTAAGGAACGATAAATAAGGAACGAAGCCCCTTTGTTTTCCAGAGAACAGTGCATAAGGAAAGATGAATCATGAAAAACGCATACGGAACGATGGACAACGCATGCAAGCCTAGGGAACGACCGAGCCCCTTTTGAAAAGCAACTGTTCCTCACTCGAGCCGCTCACTGTGGCGGGGCGCGCTCCTCGTCGATCTGTGGGAGCCCTCGGGCGTCCCAGCGCTTCCTCGGGTCCTCGGGGCCCTCGGGGTGTAAAGAGGCTCCCGCGGGGCCGCATGCTGGCCGGCCGCCTTCCCTGTGGAGGCGCCCGCGGTGCCGCCCGAGCGCGATCCATTACTAAAGGGGCCCCAGAACACACACACACACAAATAAATACACACAAATCAACATATTCCCCATATTTTCCCATATTTCCTGGGTTTTCGTCTTCCCCCCCACTTCCCATAGTTTCGCATATTTCCTGGGGATCGACGATTAGTTGTGTCTGTGTGTTTCTTTCCCTCCTGAATTACCCTCACTGACACCAGCGCGCGCGCTTTCACCAGCACCACGCACGGCATCATCACCGCCGCCATCAAGCAAAAAGAAAACACCCTCTAGATGCCAACACTTCCACCACAATCATCACCAAAACCGATCACAACACGCACCATCGTTAACAGCACCAACGTCACCAGCATCATTGATACCACCAGCGTCCTTGGCGTCAGCATTGCTCTCACACGCAGCAGTAATACACCAGCAGCATGCGCATAAACTTTGCAATATTAAATGCGAACGCCCCCAAAAACCACCTACCTTCCCAACACGGTGCTCAGGCAAGATGCCCAAGACAACGCGACGGCACTGCACGTCATACCGACTTTCGTACCCCTAGCCCCCTCCCCCAAAACCCAAAATTGTAGGGGCCAGCGCAAGGCAACTCGCGAGAGACAAAAAATGTGGACACTTCAGCTTTGGATTCTGAGGGAGGGTTGTGAGGCATAGGCACCTTTCCAGTTA